CGAAGAACTGTTGTGGCATAGTGAGCTAAGCATTGGACAAACTGCCAGGTCAGCAGTTCAAAACCCCAGCTGTTCCATGGAAGAATGATGAGGCTTTCTACTACTATAAAGATGGACAGTCTTGTAAATCCACAGGCCTACCTCTACTCTATCCTGTAAAGTCACCATGCATGAGAAGTGACTCAGTGGTAGTGATCTTGGTTTGGTTTTTAATCTCCCCTTGCCAGAATTTGTTAGAATTTTTAATCATTAGTCATATTCAGTGATTAAGTTTATGTTTTCCCCCTTTATAAAATTCAACCTTTTCAATTTATATAACTGTTTTTAGGGATGTTAATAGATTCACTTGTCTGAAAAATGTCTACTCTCCAAATTATATTATTTAGAGACTCATGATCTATTTAAACTAGAATGATTTCTAATGTGCTGTCTCATTTCTAGTATATTTTAAAAGTAGTTTGAAAAGTGTAGAATATGGATTTGTCAATAGATTTGGGTTCTACTAAGAAAATATGTACTCTGCTTTGACTCAGTAAACTCATACTTAGTATGGTTCAGCTTCTTCATATTTACCCTTGCCCATATTAGAAAACAATTAGCTTACTAAACAAATTTGAGTATTTGGTGGGGAGTGGGGATGATCCTCTTTGAATCTTTCTCATTTGACTAAGAATTATAGGGTATTTGATAACCATGTTTAAAAATGGAGATATCCAAATATTATTGTAAACACCCAATGATTTGTTTTACCTACAATATCAGTATTTTACTTGGTTGGCTTACACAGTAGCTAATAATATTTGTTAATGTAATTTAACTGCTGTGAACCTTTACTGAACAAATATTGAAATTTATTCAAGTCAAAGAAAGAGAATCTCTAATGACTTTAGTTAAAGCTTCTATTTAATAGTTAAGGAGAAAAGTTTGTATGACATACGAGATGCAATTAACAGTAGATTTTACATTTAATAAAAAGAAAGAAGCATGCGTATTTGCTTTATTCATTCCATCATAATTTGCATTAGAGCTGTGGGTGTTTAATGAGCAAATTCCAACTAAAATGCTATATTGATTTTCTAGTGAACTTTGTAATAGTCATCTACCTAGAAAAAGCTCAGTGTTTACAATTAAGTTTTCTATATTTAAAATGTTTGAGAGTTGCATATTGACCCTTTAAAAGTACTAAATTCCAAAAAAAACCCCAAGATTTTCATAACTGAAGAAATTTACATATAACCAAATACTTGTTCAAAATGGTCATTTAGCAATACCTTAAATTTTGGAAAACTTATTATTTCTAAAATGTATAACTATATTATACATATTTTCCTGTCATTTTAAAATTTAACCTTGTAAGACTCAGAAGGTAATCTTGTTTAAGTACACATATACAATTTTGGCTTTAAAATTGCACTAGTAAGGGAAAATATGTTTTCTCTTGATTACATAGAACCAAATAAGCTCTCTGTGTAAATAATTTACCTTTAAGCATAGCGATAACTATTAAAAGCCCTCGATATTGCTAGTCTTACCTCTTTCATCAGGTGCTATTGTATGTAAAATGGAGCATGGCTTATATTAAATGTCACTTTATAAAGACCTCATCACACTGTACAGAAGTGATAGAAAGCTTATTGGCATTTAAAGTTTAGTGATTAGTATTTTAATCTTTCAATATACCAGAATAGTTTAGGGTAATATAATAAACATATTAATCTGTACTTAGATCACTATTTATATTTAATTCTCTCCATTCTACTTAGCTTATAAATTAGAAATATTTAATATGTACAAATTAAAAACCATCCTAGAAATCATGATATTGTATATGAATTATTGAATCATTATATAAGTCATATGTGGAACAGATCTGAAAAAAGTTTTCTTTGAATTCCTCTATAATTGTTGCATAACAATGGAAAACGAAAAAAAAAAATTTTTTGAACCGAATTCTTTTCTTTTCAACAAATAGCCAGGATTTATCAAAATCATATTTTAATGTGTTTAGAAAGAAAGTTGAATTGTGTGTTTATGTGTTGATGGTGGTGATTATAGAGGTGGAGTAGAGCTAACATTTACTGAGGATTCTGTTTTATTTATTTGGCCAAGGAATATGTGTATATTCTAAAATAATATTCCTTAAAGTCTTATATACATTCTATCCACCTGAACTGCGACTAAAATCATGTAAGACATTTAAAAATTCAAGGCTGCCAAACACCTTGATGTGGCCCCAAGCCCATGTTCTTCCCATTATGTTCTGCTACTTTCTCTAAGCTTTTATGGCATTGCTTCCCAAGGAGAGATTGTAGAGAAACAACCAGAGCAAATCAAACTCATTATTGTGTACTTCATTCTTCTCAGAAGTTTCTTTCAAATAATTATGATGAATTGATGTAAGATATAAGAATAATATAACTCTACAGCCAAATAGGAGTAATAACATTACAAAAAAAAGATAAAAAATTGTGCGGCGGAGTTGAGAAATACAAATTCCACTGAAATATATGTTCATAACAAGGAATAGTCTCTCTCTCTGTCTTTTTCCAGTGTAGTTAAAATATGTACTTATTAGAATTAAAACTTTCGTAATTCTAAAAGGAACATACTCTATTTCAGGTTATCTAGCCAAATTGTTAGCTGCCATTATGTCAGCCCCATATTTTAGCGACTCTATATATGACGTAATGAAATGTTTCATGGTCCTGTGCCATTTCCACTTAGTAGAAACAATGAAAGATGTATTTCCCAAATGTCACTGATGTCTGCCTACAAGTTTCAAAGCCATGACTTGACCCAAACATCAGCCCAGAGACTTTACAAAGTCAGTGTTTATCTTCTTAGGGCAACCGTCTTGCTCTTGTGGATGAAACCGATGTGATCCACAGGGCTTTCATTAGTTACTTTTGGTGGTAGATTGCTGGGCCTTTATTCGTAACAGAAACATTGCCTTCATTAAAGTCACCTAAATTGTCAAAAGGAGGCCTGGTGTTATAGTAAGTTAAATGCGGAGGCCCTAACTAAAAGGTCCTTGGTTCCAACCCACTGGAAGCCCAAACCCGCCAGTGGCGCCTGGGGAGAAAGATGAGGCAGTCGGCCTCTGTGAAGATTGACAATCTTGGAACCACTGTATAAGGGCACTATGCGTTGAAATGGACTTGATGGTAGTGGGTTGGGTTTGGGATTAAACTGCCAAAGACATTCAATTTTACGCACGAGGATATGCAGTTGTTCCTTGTCACAGAAATAGTTTGCTTAACCGTTCACCTGTTGCTGGAAATTTGAATTGTCTCTAGCTTCTAGTGTAAATCTGCTAACCCTACACTTCCATCAAGTCGATTCTGACTCCTCACAGCCCTATTTAGGGTGTCCAAGGCTGTAAATCTTGGCAGGAGCAGGCTGCCTCATTTTTCTCCTGTGGTGGTTTTGAAATGCAGACCCTGTGGTCAGCAGTCCCAGCATTTTCCTGCCAGTACCACCAGGGCTTGGGTTTTTGCTTATGTCCTTGTGTGGTCATATGCTTTCAATTTTCTAGGAATAGATAACAAGTACGGCAACTCATTGATATGGCAGATCTTTGTTTAACTTTGTAAGAATCTGCCAAATGGTTTTCCAATATGACTGCATCAGCTTACATGTCCACCAGCAGGTTATATTTTATACTCTAGTATGGAAAGATATAATTGATATGTTAGTTGCTTTCCTACCAACTGTAAGGGACTGCAGTGGTCACTGTCTCCAGTAACTCGGTATGAATGGACGACAGGTCTGAAGAGGGGAGCACAGCTGGGTGCTTGTCTTCTCCTCTCTGAGCCATTCCTTTTCCTCCGCCTCCCCGACCCGCAGAGGTAACTGCTATTCTGAATCTACTCTTCGTGGCTTCTCTGTGAGTGTTTCATAGTTCTACTAACTATACCTATCAGTAAATAGTATATAGAAATGGTTTGCTTTACAACTTTTATTTTAGTCAACGTTTATTAATTTCAATGCCTGGATAACAATCCATTATAAATATTTGGGGATTTATTTATTCTTGGTGATGTTAATGGACATTGGAGTTACTTACACATTTTTGATATGCAAACAATGCTGCAGCAAGCATTGCTATACATTTCCTGCACACATGGTCAAGCAGTTTACCAGGTTACATTAAAAAAAAACACCTCACTGTTCTGGATGCAGTTTTGACTCATCGTGACTGCAGAACTGTCCCTGTGAATTTCTGAAACTGTAATTTTTTTTGGGAGTGGAAAACCTCATAGGTGGCTGGTGGTTTCAAATTGTTGACCTTGACGTTAGCCCAATTCATCACCACTACTCCACCAAAGAGAACAATTACTAGGTTGAGTCCATCTGTTTTTTGTCAGCTACTGCCAAATTGCTCTTCTGATGGTTGTAAAAATACACACTCTTCTTATTAGACTGCTAACGCTAAGGTTGCCAGTTCAAACCCACCAGCCACACTGTGAAAGATTTATAGAGGGTTGCTATGAGTCATAATCAACTTGATGGCGGTGCATATCACCAAGATCCTGAGATGGAACCAGAAGTTTGCAACCATCTGCTAACTGGCCTACAGGTTGGTGGTTTGAATCCACCCGGTGACCTGGCACACTATTTCCATAATGATGGCAGTCATGCAACCCTCTGGAGCAGCTCTGCTGTGTAGCATGTGATTGCCGTGAGTTGTGTACCAGCTCAGCAGCAGCTAACGTCAGCGGTGATCGTCGGCACATAGGAGAGTCTCCTTTGACCTACCACTGCACATTGATTGCTATTAGATGGCATTTGTTATGATTAGTCTTTAATTAGGTTCAGTGGTATCTCAATTTTATAGTAGCTTTAAAAAATAATGTTGTCTGAAGCTTTTAATTGACATGACCTTTGAAACCATACCATTAGATAAACACACATGCCTAAATCTAACAGAATTATTCATGTTAAATGTGCATATTTCCCCATTGTTTTTCTAATTAATTATGGCTTGTATGTTTTGGTAGCTCTGGTTGAAGAAGTATACTTTGCACAGAAGTTACGTGATGAAGCAATCATGTCGAGACTGCAATTAGCCAATGAAGAGAGAGATGAAGCAATTGCCCGAGCCAAGCATATGGAAATGTCTCTGAAATTGTATGTACACTTTTGAAACTAGTACGGCCTTTGTATTGATATTAGGAACATACATATTTAAAGTGCGGTATTAGGTGGTAGTTGCCTATTCAGAAACATTACTGAGCCGTGTGTATTACCCTGGGGCTTTTCTAAACCTTTCGTGTTATGGTAGTGGCTGCCCGCCCCAGAGAAGAGTCACCAAGAAACACGTAGACCACTTTCCGGACACTTGCATCCTGCCCGCCACTTCGTCACACTTCTGTTGTTGATGTCCTTACTCTTCTTTCTTGTGTGACTCCTCTTACCTTCTCTGTGCCTTTAGTATCAGCTTTAAAAGTTAGTTTCAGAAATCGTATACTTTTGTTTTCTGCTTAAAAACCTCATTGCCTTATTGCTTAATAGCCCTGTTGCTATTCCTTACTATGTTTTATTGGCAGCTCCTTTTTTCTTTTTTAAAATAATTCAAGTGGGTTTTTATGAAGGACAGGACAAGGTGCACGCTTTACAGTCTCAAAGGGTACCCAGTATCCCCGGAAATCATGGCAAGCCACGCAAAGGCCTTACGGAAGTTCACAATTCACAATCGAACAACCAGGTGGAAAAGAGCACCCCGCGTGTGGAATGGGGGTCAGAAGAGGCTGTGGCATGAGTGGGGACCAGTGATCGAGAATCGAGAAGGGATAAGGGAGAGTCTGTGGACCTCAAGTAAGCCTGAGAATGAGCATGTGGGCCCCAAAGCAGGCCCCGGGCGGGCCCTGGGACACGCCCAGGTGGTGGCATGTGTGGTTGCCACCCTCTGACCCGCCTCTGACCAGGACAGGGTAAGAGTGTAAGAGGAAGTCCCACTGCTTGCTTCCTGCCTTTATTCTAGCCCACCCCCTGACTGGGGGAAGCGTGGTTGAAGGTATTTGATGACCCCATTGGCTGCGTTAAGCCCACCTGGGTGATGTCATGGGCCTGGGCCTAGTTTGGGCCACGCAGGTGTACCTCCCACCTGGCTGGGGCCTTGAATTTGAGAATGCTCAGTGTGGGGGTCTTCATGGGTATTTAATGGTCACCTGATTTCTTCCCAACCTCCTCTAGGGGACCTGTGCAGGTATGGGAGGGACAACCCCCTGTCCTTAAATCTAGCTACCTAACATTTCCCCACTGAAGGAGTATGGACCCAAATCTTTGAGATATTGGGCAACGATGTCTCTGGCTGCTTCCTGCTGACCAAAGAGATATGACCTGTGGCTTTTGGGTCCACACCCTTCCTACTCTTTGGGAGAGCTGTCAACTTAGGGACCCACGATGGATGAGGTTGGGGTGATGCAGGAACTGGTGACTGGGGTTGGCACACTTGGCTCAGTGTCGTGGGTAGCCCGACGACTTCTGGAAGAAACAAAACAGGTGACCAGTTAGGTAAGGCAGGGGCAAAGCAGCCAGCTAGCAGTGCCCTGGGAAGTGTGGGTTAGTGTCGATGGAATTTTAGAAAAGAAATCTTAGATTGACAGGCATGGGTGCCAGCTTACTTTAAACACAGGAATTGTGTGAAAGCATTTACTAGCTTGAAGACTGCTGTGGGTCTGAGGTAGGGCTTTCTGTGGAGCACTTATCTGCCTCGGGGTGTCTGTAAAGCACCATCGTAAGACCATCCAACGGCTCACAGGAGTACTTGTCTGTTTGCTCTGCTTCTGAGGGTACCCAGGACCCTCCATCTTCAGTGATGTACTCAGAGGTGGAGCCCTAGAGTCACATTCCTAACCAGCAATGCAGGCTATTAAGCTTATAAAACTATGCCCTAGAAATAAGTCCTTTTCAAACTTTAATGGGTACACACTTAGGGATCATTGAAAAGACACAGATTCTGGTACAATGGTTTGGATGGGGGTTTAAGACTGTGCATTTCTAACAAGCTTGAAGTTGATGAACATTTTTCTAGTCCAGTACTATGACTCAGCCCACAGCATCTAGAAATATATTACTTGTAGCTATAGAAATATAATTGTAATCTAGAAATATATGATTTTAAAATCAAGTATTGTGGATGCCATTGACTTGGTTTAGGCTCCTAGTGAGCCTGTGTGCAGCAGGGCCCAATACTGTCCGTCCAGGGCCACCCTCCCAGTTGCGATGTTGCAGCCCCTGTTACACCCACTGTGTCCATCCAGCCCCTTAAGGTTTTCTTCTTTTTCACTTCCTCTCCCCTTTAGCAAGCTGGATCCCCTTCTCCAGGGATTGATCCTCCCTGA